ATATACATATTATACTCTTTACGTGGTTGATTTCGTCTATGGTGGTAATTTTTGAAAATAAGATTGAAAATATAGTCGTAGCTATATTTTTGCCATCTTTTACGTTATTGACCAGGTCTGTGAAATTTGTGATAAAATAATTCATAGCAATTATCCCGTTGGTCGTCGAAGACATTGCATTAAAGAAGTCCTCGTAATCACTTGGTTCAATTGGAAATTTTTCTTCCATTATTAATGTCAAAAATCTAAAACACATATAATATAATATACTATTTAGTATTTTGGATACTAAATGTTGATACTATATTAATATGAAATATGGCAAATAATTATATCAAAAACCATATTATGGTAAGGTTGGACGTATGAGTATTTAACATTGTACATAATCTTTGACCTCGATYATTACAAGGTCTAGCTTTTGAGTTACTTCACTGATTTCTTAAATGTGTGTCAATGATTAAAACTATTTGGACAATATGGTCATGAAAAAMATTTGTTCTCACGTCAAAAGTGTCTGTATATCAGCACAAGGCAGCGCGTTAATCACCGACGCTCTTTCGGAATACGTTTTGGTGGTATTGTATAAGTGTAAAAGTTTGTCAAAACTTTCTGAGACTTGGGAATGTCGAACGCCGACACAGAACGCCGCGTCCTTAATATCAGACGGTATCCTATAACGATTAAAAAAACACATAAATGTCACAAATGTCAAATATCATATAACTATTATTTGATATTTTACCTAAAATATATTATAACGATCGAAGCACGATAATGCTGATGAATATTATTATAATGAAATACGAACTAGGACTTACTCTTCACCGTTTTTCCATCTCCGATAATATTCCGGAACCGTGGTCGATTGATACATAATATAGTTGTCCAACTTACACGCCCACGTCGACAACGTGTTCCAGCCAATATTGGTAGGATATTGAGGACTTTTCTGTTCAGCGATGAGTTTGTTTATCATTTCGAACGCAGTGTAGGCCAATTTAGAGACAAAGGCCTGCGTGAACACAAATGCGRTTTTAGAATTTGTGAAAATACGTCAAATAATAAAATATTATGATGCAAAGTGCAAATTTATACAACTGCAAAATGATGCGTTTACATTTTGCGTTATATTTATACGATT